AGCACGATATGGCGAGCACTAGTTTGATGACTTTCTACATGAGGTAATTCTTCAACATTTATTAGTTAATTTCTTGAAATATTTATGTGTGTGAGTATGCAAGCATATTAACTTGTATATTTTTTCACCCAAGTCACTTTTATACCTCATTCGTGGTTCCTGGTGGTCTCGAGTCAAAGATCAAGCTAGTTAATCCTCATGATGTCTCTCCCCACAATAATATTACATAAGGAAGCCCTTGAAAATCAAGCAAGAATGCTTTCGGATCAATTTCGAGAAAGGGGAGAAGCTAAGGATACTTTATTTCTCGCTCCTTACTGCCAAGGGTGAGTTAATATTTGTTACGAGTAAATATTTTTTTATATTTATTTGTTTGGTAACATGTGCTGTTTCTTGTTAGGGGACACTAGATGCTTATTGTGGTTAATCCTGTTGCTCCAAAAATATGGTATCTTGATCCCCTTAATAGAGAGCCAAGCAACAGGGAAGATATGGTGGTACTTTTTAATGAGTAAGTTAGATTTTTTTACTTGTTATTTCTTTTTAATTTTAGATTTCATTCATATATATTTCTCACATTCATTCCATAATTCCTTCTTAGAGTTGTGGTGTTGTATCGCACTGCGACCGACATGACTGTGTCCCCTAAGATGAGGGCATTCGAATCTTCAGAGAAATGGGTCACTGTTAAGGTATTCATTTAATTGGTCAAGTTTTTAATCAAGAAATTGTCTCATTATATTTTGCAATTTCATTAATATGTGTTTTTTTATAGTGTCCATTCCAGCCAGATCAGAGCAATGACTGTGGTTATTGCTTGATGAAGTTCATGAAGGACATTATTACTCATGCCCCTACCACATTATCTAACAAGGTATATATATAAAATTTAATTACACTTCAATTATAAATTTTAAACAATTTTAATTAGCTACCTATTAACTTAAAATTGTTGTAACTATTTACTTACAATACTTCGAGGATGTCTATTGCGTTCGTTATACGACTGCACATGTAGAAGAGGTCCTTGAAGAGGTGGCCCAATGTGTTTTCAATATGTGGGTAGCAACAGTAGTTAGGCCGGTACAATAGTTAGTTATATTTATATATACATTTTTGGGCCAATTTTTATGGGATAGGCCACTTAATTTTGAAACATTAGTTTGTAAATAAGTTTAGATTTTAAGGTTAAATGTATAGGAATTTTTATGTTAATTAGATAGGAGATACTATTACAAACATTCATTATATTGCATTATTTTCGTTGCTGGCTGGCTGTTTTTTATCTTTATCTGTATCTTTATAGAGGGCGTTGCTTTAAAAGCAGCAACCATATAAAAAAAATTATGTCATTAATACTTGACGGTTATTTCAAAATAACCGTCAAGTATCAATATAGTTGACGCTTGTTTCAAAACAAGCGTCAAGTATTTGTAAATACTTGACGGTTATAAAGAAACAAGCGTCAAGTATTTATGTTGGAAAGTGCATATTTACTTCATATACTTGATGGTTGTTTTTAAATAACTGTCAAGTATAAGATTAATACTTGACGGTTTTTAACTGTCAAGTATTATTTCTTTAATATATGTCGCACCCTTACTTGACGGTTAAAAACCGTCAAGTATTGGGAAAAATAAGCGTCAAGTATGGGTATTTTCTATGGTAGTGATAACAAACTCAAACATTTGAACCCTCAATCTCTACTTCTAAATTGCCCAACATTCACTTTACAAGAGGTGAAGCCTAACCATTAGGTTTAATAATTACTTTTAGCCCCCAATAGCATTATTGAGCAATTAAATCCCCATTAATGGTATCACAAACCTCCAACCACCTATAATAAATGAGATTTTCGGGAATTAATGGTGCCCAACAACCTAAGACACCAAAACTCAATATATCTAAGTTTAAATAATCTAATCTACCTCCATTAACTTCATTGGAGTCAACAAATTTGAACCTATAACTTATATGGATCGAAAATCCACTTCTACTATCAAATCTTAACCATAAACTCATAAATGTGAAAAAGATGGGGAGATTAATGAGTGTGATACTTACTTTGGATGTTTGTAGCCTTCAAAATACTCTCAAAATCGTCCCCAAGTAAATCCTAGCAGAGCGTTGACACGTCTTTTCATTCTCTCTTTTCTCTTCTCTCTATTTTTGTCTCATTTTGTGTCTGATAAACTGCAGAATATGGCCATGCGCCGTGGCGGATGCATGGCATAAAGAGGTCCTCCTTCACTTAGAAATGGCTATGTGTCGTGGCAGATGATCTACGCGCCGCGGCATGTGACACAATAATTTCAACTCTCCTTTTCTTCTCCTTTCGATGCCCGGATGGCCCGTCTCAATACCAGACCTACAACTAGGGCTAAAATACTATCAAATATAATTATTAGACCTCTCTGTTTACACACTACTTCAACTTACTTAGTTACCCTAATTAGGTTTAATTAATTAAGGAATTGAAACTCGGGATGTTACAATCTCATTTTGATTTAAAAATTTTAATTTTTTATTTTATATTTATTAAAAAATACAAAAAATTATAAATTTTTTAATAAATATGCTTGATCACCAACAAAGACAGTCTATATTTAATTTAGCTGATTCATATTAAATATTAAAATTTTTTATAATTTTTATAAATTAACTATTCAAATTTACTTTAATTTTAAACAGTTTATATTTAATAATTTTAACTTGTAATTTGTTTAAAAAATATTTTTTTGGAAACATGTTAGAAGGATATATTTATTTTTGAAAAATCATGAAATCTATAAAAAATTAAAATTAAAGTTTCACTATTTAAAATATATTTAGATAATCAATTTTTAAAATCTATAATAATTTTTAATATTAAATTCAACCATTCAAATTAAATTTGAATATGACAAGCAAACACAAACCGTGCTCTTTTGCCATCATGCCTAGTGGTGTTTATGAGTGTGTGAGTGGATGAGGTGTGGGTGTTGGACTGTCAGACAAAAATCAAGGATACGGTTACAATCCATCTCTTTGGCCGCAATGGAAGCAAGCTCGATGATAGTTGCAGACAGTTGAACTTCAAATTGATGACTGATTTTGATGACAGATGTAAAAATTCAATGGTGTGGCACAATTTTTATCTAGCCCTTAAAGAACATGTTGAAATATTATGGGAGAAATTGAATCCACACACTTTGTGTGTGTGTGTTTTTTTTTTAATTATGGTACACTACCAAATTGCAAATAATAAAAAGTATAGTAGTTATTTGTTAGCAAGTAGGGTGAGTCTTGTCCCAAAAAAATAAAAAAGTAATGTGAGTAAATGGGGGTGTTAGTGGAATGAAGTTGTTGATGATCTCTGAGTGGGTCACGAAGCAAATGATGTGTCTTGAATCACTAACACCAATTTCACTTCCATTTCCGTGTGAAGCATAAACACACAGTCTCCACGCAAAGTCGCATACCTACTTCCTCATGGCCCACCCTCCACAAACACAACCAAGTAATCTACCTATCGGATATATAACCTAAATTATTAATATATCAGTTTACTTTTTCAAAGGGCTATCACATTTCTCAAACACCACTCGAGCATAATAATTGCGAAGAAGGACTAAAGTATTATGAAATCTTTGTTATTCAACAAGAAAATTGAAGCAGAAAATTAACCTTGCTAAATATTTTGATGATAGAAATATTGCTTTAACAATCATACAAAAGAAAATTGACGAGTGACAATAACAGTTTTAATGAGCAAAAGTGTAAGAAATACAAAGTATAATATTGTAACAAATATGATATTAGCAAATATAACAAGTGAGTGTATTGGTTTTGACAAAAGTAAAAATGACAAGTAACTATGATGTCTTTTTTTTTTATATATATACAAAGTAATTATGAGGTCTTAACAAAAATAATTGTGAAAAATAATAAGTGTAATGTTCTAACGAGCATATGATGGAAATTAAATGACAAGTATGAGCAATGTTTTTATAACCATGGATATGAAAGTTGACAACTAATCATAATGCTTTAACAATCATGACGGTAAGAAATCACAAGTGTAATATTCTAACGACTATGATGATAAAAAACCACAAATGAGTATATTGTTTCGATAAACATATACATGAAAATAACAAGTAATAATAACAATTTAAAAAGCATATATATTATATATAGAAACTAATAAAATGGTAGTGAAAAATGATAAGTATAGTTGTTTTTGTATTTTCTCTTTCAATCTTATTTTTAGATATCACTTCTTTTGAACCACAATATAAATTACTTTTTAGAAGCACTTCTTGATCCAAAATATAAAGTATTAGATAAATTTTATATTTCATTTTCCATTCATATCCTTGCTTTTTTTATTCCTTATATTTAAGTGCCCCCATATATAAATAAATGAGAAGATATGGGCATTTTTAGAAAATAAAAAATGAAAAATGATATCCTCTCCATTCAAAAATATAAAATATTTTTTGAGAGGCTAGATACTCAAATATAAAGCATTTTTAATATTTTAAGGTGTAATTATTATATTTTTTTTAAAATTTTCTTAATGAATAAGCTAATTAATGATTTATCTTTAGGTGAGATATTCTATTAAATAAGGATAAATATAAAAAAATATTATAAATTTAAAAATAATTAACTAATTCATTAGATATGTGATTCAATTAAAAATATTTATATTTTTAAATAGAGAGAGTAAGTATAATTGTTTTTGTATTTTCTCTTTCAATCTTAATTTTAAATGTCACATGAGAGATTTTAGAGTAATTTTTAATTTCATCCTATTTAAATAATTTTTTTAAAATTTACATTGCATGTAATGAGTTTAAATAGTTTAAAAAAAGTTACATAATTAATGTCTTATCCAAATAAATAAAATCTTCGAAGAGGAGGGAATACCAGCTTGTTTTATGCGATCCGATTGGGATGGCGAAATCAAAAGAAATGGGTCATCATAAAGAGAACCACACCACAGCGTTCTTAATTGACTAAAAAATTAAGGCACCCCACCCCGTCCCTCACCTTATCAGACCGCTTTACTTTCTAGGGACGAGAAACTGTTGCTTCTTCCCAGAAACCATAAAGAAGCTCTAAAAACCACAATTTTCTTTTTCTTTTTCTTTTGAGCTACTTAAATGCAGAACCAGAGACATTAAATGACCATGTTTGTATTTGCTGAGCTGCCATTGTCTCTGTCCTCTGCTCCTCCACCTTTCACCACTTGTCAAGCTCAGCTCCTTCGTCACAAATTTAAGAAATGGAAACAATAACTTTGTGGGGTGGCCTATTTAAATAGCGAAGAGCTCATAGCCTTGGTGGTGTGTTCTTCAGTGTTCAAGTTTAGTGTTACGTGAGAAATTGTTTGTGTGAGAGTGAAAATGAGCTATTTGGGTGTAGGGGTGAGCCCTGGGACTGTACCAGTCTATCATGGCACAAATGTTAGGGTTTTGGATAGGAGGGTGAGACTTGCAGAGTTGACGTTGAGGTGTGTGATTCTCGCTCTGGGAATTCTCGCAGCTGTTCTTGTGGCGACTGATACACAAGTCAAAGAGATTTTGTCGATTCGGAAGAGAGCTAAGTTTACAGACATGAAGGTCTTAGTGTAAGTTCTCCTCATTCTTCTTCTCTTCTTATTTTCTTTGGAACAAAAGTTTTGATGGATTGGGGTTCCTGACATAAATCAGGTTAATCTCATGATCGAATATAGTCTATTAAGAATAGGACTTTGTCATTAATCTCACATAGGAACTTACAAATGGAGTGGGGTTTATAAGTGAGGGAACTCTCCTGCCAGTTTTTGGGATGAGTTCTTTTAAATTCATGCTCGTAAAGTTAGTGCTTTTTATTAAGAGGCGGTGTTACAGGGGGGCTATCCGCTCTCAAAAGAAGTGGCATTGTCATGAGTCCTGTATCGAAAGTGGGGTGAGGGGTTTTCTCACTCAACAAAACAAGCTAATCTTTTGGAATGATTTCTTCTTTTGAACTTATGCTCATAGTAACAGACTTCAACCCACATTTGTGTAGGTTGAGATTGATTATTGCCAATTGAACTAACCTATGGCTTTTCTATGTTTATTTTGATTGTGAAAACCATTGCAGGTTTGTGGTTATAGCCAATGGGATAGCTGCTGGTTACTCTTTAATTCAGGGGTTGCGCTGTGCTGCGAGTATGGCTATGGGAACTGTACTCTTCAGCAAGCCTTTGGCTTGGCTCATTTTCTTGGCTGATCAGGTTCACCCAAAGACCCTTCTTTTCAAATGAAATAAATTTCAATTACACAATTAAGGGCACTTGTATAAAGGAAAGCGACAGTTAAGGACTAAAACTTATATAATCGTTAACACTCTTAGAATATCTCTCAAAGACCATGCAAATAAATTATTATTTCCGCTTCTTAAATTTATCACTGATACTACTTAATATTAGAATTTGATCTTTCAGATTCTATAGAAGTGTTATACTTTTATTGTTACTTCTCAATGAAAACATTTCTGTAACATTTGAAAGTCCAGATTGTAAATTTTAGGAAACTTAAGTAAAAACTTAATGAAGTACAGAGTATAACTTATTTAAATTGTGCCCTTAACTGTCATTCTCTCTTCTATATCCATTCAAATAGGTTTTTCTGCGTGAAAAATTAACAAATTTATCAAAGTTAGTTCTGCTTTTAGTCTGTTAACTTGATCAGAGGAGAGGAATCAACATGAATGGAAAAGGAAATCTCCTCGTAAGATAGAAGTTTGATTTTAATTTTTGTTTTCTGTACCATATTTTATTACTATTTTTGGATGAATACGACAGAGTAGGGTCCAGTTGGTTGATGTATTGTATTTAATGCTATAATCTGGAGGTAACTGGTATTGGAGGGGACCTATTTCTGGTCCTTGAGGAAACCAAACGCAATAACTTCTTGGATGGGGAAGTCAAGTCATTCATCATAAGACATACCTAATTCCAGAATTGGGGTCACTGAACCTTCTAGTTGTCAATAATTCTGGTTGTTGAGAATTTTAATTTCTCATTGCACATTTATAGCACAGTGGTTATGGAAAATGGAATTTTATGTAGCACTTGCAGACCTTCCTAGATCATTTTCTTGTTTTCATTTAATCTAAAAAATTTAGGTGAGTTAAGTCTCGAGGGCTCACCAAGGCAAGAGCAAGACATGCCTCTAGGCTAAAGAGAGCTTACAAAAGTACTTACAAACTTTCCACCAATAAGGTCTTCACATTAGCAACAGGATTTGATCCCACGACTTTGTGAAGTTTAAGTTAAATGATTACCATTACCAATTAGACTAATCTTTGTTGGTGTTCTGTTTTGTTTTTCAAATAACAGTCAATGCATTCTTAACATCAGAGAATAGGATCAGTGATAAATAGATCTCTGAAGGTGGGAGTTTTGTGAAGTTTTCTGAAGTAATTGTTTCTAGTCGTTGGATTAATTGGTATGGTTCAGCTTGTGCCACGTGATAGGAACAAGAGATAAGGAGTGTGTGTGAGAGAATCTGAACTATATGGCACAATCTTCACTGCGCAAGTGATTTAAGGATGAAAAATCAAATTTTCAGCAAATTCTACATGCTCCTTACTTTAGGACAGCCAGATTCGGCTTAGTGATGTATGCAAGCTTTGATCTTAGCTCGGAGCTATAATTTTGATAAATCTCTTAGTTTTGACAAGTCTTTCGCTAGATCAAAGAGATCAATTACTTGTGATAGAAATGAAATTGAACTGATCACCTAATTTCCTTAGAACAGAGAAGAAAAATACATTCCCTTATCAGAATGGTACATAACAACAGTTCTGTCTTAACCTCATTTTTTACCACTTGAGCTACACAATCAAAACAGATATTTGGTTTGAGCACAGCACTTATTTGAACCTTAACTAGCTAAGCCAATTCCTTGACTACAAGTCACAGATATTACGATAGCTTTTATCCTACCATATGGGGTCAGTTGCATGGATTGTTTGATACTATTGCCCCCTATCATCAATTAAGCCTTTGTGAAATATAAGTGACAGATGAATTATGAATTTCCCTAAGAAAGGCACCAACACTTGAATCCTAACCTGAACATTTTTGCTCAGAAATGTGAGCTATACATGGCTGAAAATGATGAAGAACCAGAGTTACATGTGTAAAATTTTGCAGGTAATGGCTTATGTGGCAATCTCAGCAGTGGCAGCGGCATTACAATCAGCAGTGTTTGCAAAGGCGGGTCAGACAGAGCTTCAGTGGATGAAGATATGTAACATGTATGGCACTTTCTGTAACCAAATCGGAGAGGGGATCGCTAGTGCTCTTGTGGCTAGTCTTTCCATGGTGGTCCTCGCTGGTATTTCTGCTTTCAGTCTCTTTCGTTTGTACGGTGGTAATAAGCTTAAAAATGAAGGTTGGTAGGTTAGGTGCTAGGAAGTGAATTGAAGTAGAGCATAATATATATATATATATATATATATAGGTTTTGACTTAAAAATTGGTTAAGCACCCACCATCTATCCTCTGTTTCTTGTTATACTAGCTTGGGATGTTTCTAAACTGTGCATGTAAGGTAGTTTGTTTACGATAATACAAGAACCTCAGCTTTGTTTGTTAACTACTCGTTCAATAATATTTTGTAGGCAAAATATATACACTGGGCTCCTATACTTTGATTGCGATTTATTTTTAGTCTTTATAGTTTTATTTCATTATTTTTAGTCCTTTTCATTATAACTTCGCTTATTCCTCTGCTGACATGGTAAAATTGAAATAAATTGACCAAGTGCAATTAAAAATAAAAGATAAACAAAAAGACAGAAGCTTTCTTGCATATTTAGATCAAACAAAATGTAGGACAGAAAGATAAGATTAAGTAATGCTATCAAAAGGGTTAACATAATTAAGCATGTGTCAACAAAATTAACACTTTTGGTGCCAACTCATAGCCTTAATGAGTATTTTTAAAATTATATGAATTAATGTTTTTGACAGATCTAATTTAAGGGGTTGGGAACAATAAAATAAAATCATAGGACTAAAAACAAAGCGCAAATTTTAAATTACAGGATTTGTTGTATTTTCCATATTTTATATAATAGCAGTGAAATATGAAGAATTAGATGACCACTGAATGGACACCTTTCTTGGAAAAGCTTTATTTTTTATTTATTTTTTCCGATTCCCATGCATTTAAACTTCCAGATGGGGGTTACGTTGCTGTATTTTTCTTCTTTATTAAAAAGTTGATTTCCTTTGGAAAAAACTTCACATGGACACCGAACGTTAAATATATGCTTGAGATGAATGAAATGGGGAGGAGAATATAACTGGGAAGGAGCCAGCCCTTCACAATAGGGTTTGAGGGGAGTCCATTTTTTGTTTTTGATTTCTTTTTTTAATGCAAAAGAGGGCACTAGCCCAACATTGAAAAGAAACTAAGAAAGGTGGAGTTGAAAATTGAAATCCTACCAATAAAAAATAGTCCAATCCATAAAAATTGGATTTATAATTTATAAAATTGTGAGATCAAATCCTGCTATTAATATAAGAATTTTATTAGCAAACAATCTATTAGTATCTTTATTAGTACTCTTTGAGCCCAAATGTATGTTTTAGCCCTGATGATATTCTAAGACCCAACTCATCTAAATGTTTTTTTGCATAAAAAAATTTGACATCCTAATCACCAAGTGCTTGGATGGACTAGTAAGGTGTTTGGTCTAACTTAACAAGAAGTTTTAAGCTCAAGCCTTAAACATACAATAGTAATTAAATTCATTCTTGATGAGAGGTATGCTTCCAAACAAGTGCTTTTAATTGCTAACCAAATTAAGCTGAATCAAAGGCCTGGGATACCAGAGCTCATGTGAAAAAACAAAAAGAAAAAAGAAATGAAATCCCAAGCCATAATCGTGCATCAGGCTTATCAACTCTTAACAAGGAACGATGTCATTGATATGTGAACCATTCAAGCCTGCTTTAGTTAAGTGGTGCAATTATATTGACGATGACAATCTTCCTCTATCGTAAAGCGTAGTGACTGTGACTGCAAAACTACAGTGATTAAATATATGAGCTGATGCACTGTTGGAGATCATGGGCCCATTGATAGTATTTCATAGGAAGAATCACAATAAAATTTTAAAATGGAGAATTTATGATAGTTAGATCCTTAATAAAAATTTTAAAAAATAAATTATAAATATTGATTTAAATAAATATAAACAGGAATTTCAATTATAAATTGAGAGTTATATTTAAAATTTAAATACCTTATTGAATTTGTAACTATGTAAATCTAATATTTACAATTGATTTTACAGAAAAATTACAATTGACACACCTAAAATTTCACCCAAGATGATTGATTGGCAGTTTAACATGACTAAAGCTTGAGGGTATTACAAAAATTAATTATGATTAATTAGTGATATCAAGGAAAGGATATTTCTTATTGTTCATCATGATTGAAATAATGACGACATCAAGAACGTTTTTTAAATTAATCAAAAGATAATTGAGATTTGCGTGGGCTCTTCTTTTGCTATCTCGGTTCCTTTAAGTCTAAGGATACCCTAAAGACAGAGACACTGTCTTGATGACGAAAGCATTCTAGAATCATTTTCCCATCCAAAAAAGAATTAAACACTTTTGTTAGCATAATTAATAATAAAACTCTCAGTTGCACTTAACTTCTACTTTAGAATCTGAAATCAGAACTCTTCTACTTTTGTAACAAATTAGTGTGAAATTTAGATTAAATGAAGTGTTAAAGTAACAAGCAAAGCAGATTCTAGTCACCACCGAGTAAACTCGTGTGACAAGTTTCTATGTTTAATTACTTCCTAACGAACAGTAACCATGCTTCTTTTGTATTAGTTAGCTAGAATTCTTTTTCCTTTTGGGAAAGGTTCTTAGCAAGGTGTTGTAAACTGAATGGAATATTGAACCACTAGAAATATTAGTTAGAGAATTAATGGTTAAAACTATAGTTGAATTATAATCAAATTAATTATAAATAAAATATTTTATTCAATCAATCAAAAAATTAATTTAATAGTTTGTTAATTTAATTGGGTGGGTTAACTTAAATTTTCATACTATGATACCTAGAGATCAATAGATTAATTAGTTGATTACATGCCTTTTTATCTTTTACTTTTTGGATAAGCATTACATATGCGCCTTTCTTTCTTAACCCAGACACTGTATACAAATTGAAGTACATAAAACTGAAAAGAGATAGACACGGTTGGCGACATTACGTGTACCTGCGATAATTAATTCTTTTTAATTAAGATGCTTATTGCATCGACCAAAAAAGATACAAATCATTACACCCGCTATACCTACTTCTTGATTTAAAATAAAAATGCTATCATATACCCCCTCTATTTAAAAATATAAGGTATTTTTAAACGAATCTCATCCCTAATAAAGTAATTATCTACTTTCAAACTATTTCTATCTTTTAATATTTATTCCTATTAAACACCTTACAATAAATATAAAGTCATTCATCAATAGGGATATTTTTTTAAAAAAGACAATGATTATATCTCGAAAGATTAAAAATGCCTTACATTTTTTAACATTCAACCTCTCAAAAAATACCTCACATTTTTTAATGGGGGGAGCATGTAATAAGTGTATAATGAGATTTAGCCTCCTCCGGAATTTAGAGTGCAAGATAATTTAATTTAAAAATAATAATTTAAATAATTAAAAAATAATAATTATATTAGGACTAAAATTATAATGTAATAACATAAGTAGATTGATTATATTTTTTATAAAATTATATTGAACATGTTGCATGGTATTCCATGTAAATATGATCTTTATATTTTATTTCAATCATTAAAATATTCCATGCTCCCTCCATCCTTATATATAGAGTGCTTTTTAGAAGTTTGTTTTATTTTTAAATATAAGGGGTGTCATAATATTTTTAAGTAATTAGATAATTTTGCCCTTATACCTTATATATTAGGATGGAGGGAGTATCTAATAAGTTGTTGAGCTCAAATGTTTTTAATTTAGTTCAGAGGGTGTAAATATTAATAACGTGTAGTGAGAAATTGGAAAATTTAAATATCTTACTTGTAATTGTTTCCAAAGTGAGGGAATGCTTTCGTCCACCTTCAATATAATGTTACTGTATTTTACCCGTTATTTTCCTCCTCATGAGTTATTTTTAGTTGTGTAGCAGGACATTACTACTGTTGCAGAATTTTATTTCCCTTGTTATAAAAATAAATAAATTTGATTCCGCTATTTCTAAAACTAGAAAGCCTTCTATCTTTTCATGGATTTTCTTTTTTGGCGGGGTGGTTAATGACTAAATTTACTTATTAAATAATTACATGCATAAATATTCCTTTCTGAGTTGAGAGGCAACCTTCAATCTCATGCAGTACGTGACATCTATGACTTCCCAAAGGCAAGAGGTAATCTTCAATCTTACAATGGGGATGACGACAAATTAAAGTTCCTACTCCATAGTAAACAAAAAATTATAGTCAAAATTTTTCTTTGGATAAATTATAGTTTATTCAAAATAATCAATTGACTAATTTAAAATTCACAATTCAGAAACTATGAATAATGTAGTATTTTTCTCTCCGAACTCTTTTTTTTTTTCAATCTCAATATATTTCAAATATATGATTTCTTTAAATACCAATTAACAATTTTATAGTGATTCATAACCAACTTTTCAAAAAGAACTATGTGAAAATGCAATAATCTTGAGCACATTTATTATGTTCAATGTTTGTTCTTTATATACGTACCTATACATACACATATGTAATTATCGTTTGATTTTTATGGTATTTTAGTTCAGATATATAGGCAGTTTTATTTTTGAAATATTAGTTTAACAAAAGTAATAGAATTAGAGAGATATCAGTTTTAGAGATCACCTTAAATAATATAAAATTATACTTCATGAAAATTTTTACATGATTACTTTAGTGAAATTTAAACAAAAATATCAGTTTTAGGACATAGGTTTTGTTGCACATCGCCACCTGTTTTAAGGATGTTACTCTTTTGAGTCTGTTGGGAAACTTGGATCAAATTTCATTGTCTCTTACATCAGGCAGCTTTGTGAACAATAATGGCGGCTCTTGAAACTAATATGGTTTGAATTTGGATAACCCATTATTTGCTCAACAATTCAAACCCAACTACTAACGTAGCCATAATTTTTAATTAAAATGTACACGCATACCTGATTTCCTTACTATATGTCCTCTATTTTTTGATTTTTTTTGTAAGTTGAGTTAAACTAAAATGGTTCACAACATGTTTTGCATTTATTATTGGGTTAAATGGCAAATTCATTCCTTAAATTATAGGTCCAATAAATGTTTGAGATCTTAAACTCATTTTTAATGTAATATTTTTCTTTAATTTTTAAAAATGATGTAACATTTGCCCTATCATTAATAAATGTCAACTTTGATGGTTAGTTAATAAAAAAAATTATAAGAAAGAACTAAGAAAATTACAAAAAAGGGATAAAAATTTTGTTGATCATTTTCTGTAATTTTTTAGGTCCTTATATATAATTTTAGGTTTTTTCTGTAATTTTAAGTACTTTTTCTTTGGCTACAAAATAATCAGAGATGAAATATAATA